AGGGTACAGTAGTGACGGAAATCTAGGAGCTGAAATCAAGGTAACTATCGACGACCCACACTTTGTCAAAGCATCAGGGTGAATAACAATCTACCACATGGCACCACTACTCACAAACCACATGTATCTCGGAAGCTGTTCACCAAAGTGAGTTTCTTGGAGGGTGCAGCGGAAACGCAGTTGGCACAGTGTGCTTGTGATTCGACGAAAGAGGTGTCCCGAAATCGGACGGACGGTATGGGTGACGTGTGCGCGGGCTGCTTGTCTTCGACGGCCAAGATGCCAGAAGCATAAGAGCAGACATTCGCCAGAGCACAATAACTTGTTCATGTCATAAGATCCTCCGATTTGAAATCAGAAATTGGAACAATCATAGATTGCACAATAGATTGTCCATGCAACACAATGTCATTCTACTTTCCCCCATGGAGAGAAATAATAACTTCTCCATTTCCTTACATTTATCCAAAAAGGTAGTTCAGGGGTGGTCATTAGTATATTTTATGGAAATTTTGAACGTTAAAAAACTATCCGTTTGGCATTCTCTTATATATCCCATCTTTCTCTTATATATGCAATTATTCCGGAAGTTACTGGTAATTGGTTCATTAGCAATAACGCCACCTGTAATGGGTTTATGACATATCGCGTACAGCTTGGAAGGAATGAAGAATGACGGGCAATGAAAAGAAATGTCAATACACCCTGTTTCGCGCCACACTGACATTCGCCATATTGACAAGCCGGTTGTACTGACATCAATGCGTCCAAATTGGTCCCAGAACATACCGTATAAGCACTTTTGCCGCACGAAACCAAACTCAAAAGCACGTTTCGGTTGTCATAAACCGTTGTCTACCGTTCTCCTGAAGTGCATTTCGGTTGCAAGCACCAGCCCGCTGAATCCAAGCATACGTGCGCACTGTAGCCGGGGCTCCCGATTGTTCAAACATCGAGAAACAAGGTGTACTTCGTTCCGAGAACGTAAAGCGGGACGGTTTACGGCTGGCTTGATTTTTCCCGAGAGCATATTCTCGACCCTGCTATTCCAGCGAACTTTCCGCACTGCCCCTTGCGTCCAAGCAGAATCGAAAACAAACGTGTGAGTGATGGCCTTTTTGGGATGCCAGGCAGAATCTGTCTTGATCTGTACAAGAATGGCAAGTGTCGATTGCAAGTCTTACTTCGGAAACTTCTCTACCAAGCGGGAACAGGCTGGATGGGTGAGGGGCCTGTGTCGACTTGGAAGTCTCATTCGTGATTGGCTTGTCGTGTTCGCACAAGCATCAGAGAGGCCATGAGTCCCTTCCGTTATTTTGTCTTCTATGCATGGACGGTGTGTACACTGTAGCTCGTGCAGTCGAGGGCGAAGTCTCGTCACTGCAGCAAAACAATGGTTTGCTGGGATGCCCGTTCACAACCACAGCGGGTCCAGATGACCATGTGTTGGTAAGTGTAGCATTTCTGGATGGAAGGCGGGGCGGCATAGCAAATTCCTGGAGTGATGAACCCCCAGTGCAAGTGGGTGATTCTGTGAGGATGAGATGCACTAAGAGCGTGTCCGAAGTGAAGCGTCGAATGGATGTGGATGGATGTCGGTAAATTTCAACCCTCGGATCGAAAGTGCCAACCGTCAGGATTTACCGACATGTCAACGGATGTCGACTTCACTTCGGACCCGTCCTGAAGGTAACAAGGGAGCGCTGATGCGCTGTAAGTCCTGAAGGTGTACCGAACGACCTAAAAGGTTCAAACATGGCAACATTCTGGGACGCGTGCGCGAACGAGTACATTTTAGTTGCCCTATTCCAGGGTTTCCACAAAAGATTTCAGTTGAACCGTTTGAGGCACGTTTGAGGCACGTTTCCACAAACTCTGTTTGAGGCACGTCCATGCGCATTTCTTCCTTCCAGCACTGTTGTATCCCACAGTTGTGTTCGTGTGCGACACCCAATGCCAGGGACGGTCTGTTCTCGCTGTCCTCGCAATCTCTCCTGCCGCAAATCAGCGCTCTTTTACTCCCGCATTTCAACCAAAGCCCATTTTCTATACTGTAAAATACGGGCGTTTTACATCTCCGTGACCCTGAACTATTCCACCACACCCCTAATCAGGGTTCCAGTCAAGTACACCCTGGGTTTCCAATCTAGCCCATACTGCTGTTGACGTTTTCAGAAGCATTGTGGAATTAGTCCCGTACTTTTGTCCCGTACTCCAAACCTCCAACCTACCACACGCGGTGAGCTGGCGAGCCCTACCAAACCATCTCTCTCCCTACCCGCTCTCCCCACTTTGCAGTTTCGGTTTTTACAGTCAAGTTTATTTACAGCTCAACCAGGTAGCTGATATTTTAGTGACTGAATTGCGCGAAACGATATTGTCTGCATTTGCCCTCGTCGACACGGGCAAAAATGTGGCTGAACGAGAAACAGAGATGGGACAAAATTTGTAAAACGGTCATATGTGATTATATAGTTGCAAACCTTTTTGTATTTTCGAATGTGGAAGGATTTATCCCCAGATTGCACCTTCCACTGGTCGCACCTGGTCGATGTTATGCTCAAGATGAAGCGTGTGGTTGCCCATACTCATTTCTTGTACACCCTGTTTCTCGACCCTCTCACCTTGCGCGATTCGCTGCTACAGTGCGGTCAGGTGCCATAAACCGTATGGCTGAAACCTGCGGGCAAAGCCGCACCAGCTGACGGAGTGGTACTGGGGGCAAAATTTTTCTTTATCGCTGTTTACCCTTTTCAACCGCTTTGAAACGCTTGGTTAATGTTCTTTACCATGCAGCATCCTAGCTAACCGCTTTCTTGTGAATGTGCTTGTACCGTCGGTGATAAGACCATTTCAAACGTGGTGACGTTCTACAACCTGTGCATGTTCTGCAACCAGATGCTCTGCTAGCGCGAAACAGGGTGTACTGACATGCTTTTTTGTGGGATGAGGTTGAGCATCAACTGCAGCCTTATCCGTGAACCCGCCGCCATCACCACCACCATCCATTTCTGTCCGACGCTGCTGCCGTGCTTGCCGTGCCACCCAAAAGCCACTCTGTCCTGCTGTACACCCACATTTCGCTCCACTCCATTCCAGTCTATCCTTTCCCGTCCTGATTTCAACTGGTTCGGTCTGTCCTGCTGTACACAAGTCCCTCGAGTTGGGCTGGCTCCGCCCCCACCAGCCCTTCCCCCGCGCACATTCTAGGCCCTAGACCTAGAATCTAGGGGCTTCACGATTCACGTGCAAGCAAGCAAGCTCACCTGCACGAGTTGCTCTTTCAGAGCTTTGCTGTGTGAATTCTGTATTGGGTCAAGTAGCTACCGTCCAGTGGGCCACACCCCTGTCACCCTCATCTGCAGCTGTAGGAAGATAAGGAAACCGGATCATGGAGGGAACAAGCTCTATGGCTAGTTATTCAAAGCTCGCAACCGTCCCGCGCATCGCTTGATCGTTTCGTTGATAAAGAATATAGTAGACTTTAGAAGTTGTCGTCTTTTGTGCGGCATGCTAGCAGGCCCCTTTTCGACTCTCGAAGGACACCCGACTCGATTCGTCCCTCACGCCGTTAGTCGTCTCGTCTTTATCCGAATACATCGCTAGCACTTTCTTGCAAACATCAGCCTCGATTTATTGAACGTCGTCATCGCGTCTTCTTCGCTATTCGCCGCCGATTCAATGGCGGCGCCTCTCTCATTCCCGCAGCTCTTCACTTGCTCGTTGCTGTCCTCGTCCCCCAACGGCGGTTAACCGACGGTTTAGCGCACGCGACCCGCGGACACTTCAGCGCAGGTAGCGAGACTGCTCTGAATCTCTGTTCGACAACGCGCTTCTCCCGCCCCCGCTTCTCCCGCCCCCGCTTCTCCCTTCCGGTGCTCTCCATTTTCTACGCGGATTCATCCCGGATTTCTCCGATAAAAACCGTCTCCATCGGTACCCCGCCCGTCATTCCACCACCGACTCCTGGTAAACCTCCCCTTCCGTTCGAACTAGTCATCGCCGTCCCTTTCGCCGTTCGCTCGCCGCCGCCGTGTATTCATCAGTGCCGGTGGCCTCGAGACGCGTGGAAGATGCTGCACGAGGAGCATGTAAGGGGTCCTAGCTCGGAAAATTCGAGCTTGGGAATCCCGGGCGGTCCAAGCATGTCGGATTCGGGTGCAGCGAATTTTACGTCCGGGTCGCGTCGCCGCCGGGATGAGACTGGCGCTGAGACGAGCGGAGACGGAGCAGATGTTACTACTGCGTCCGCTGCTCGTTTGTCCAAGCGCGCTCGTTTGACACACGACACGGATGTTGCGGCTGCTGCTCCTGCTGGCCGCAGCGGCAGTAACGACGACAATAACGGCGGCAGTATCGGCGGCTATAACGGTGGCACTAATGGCGGTAGTATCGGCGGCGTCAATGGCGGTGGCGGAGGTATTCCGGCCGCGCCGGCGCCGGCGGCCGCGGCTGCAGTTGATGATGGCGATGGCGGGGATTTGTGCGAGGCGGCGCGCCTGCTTCTCGCCGTTAGCGGGCAAGGCGCGGAGGACGGCTCGAATCGCGAGGATGCTGTGGGTCCGGTTATAGCGGCTTTGGCGGCGCGAGGGGGTGGCGCGGGGGGCGTCGGGGTCGGAGGAGGAGTGCCGTCGGGCGGAGAGAGAACGGACGGCGCGCGGGCGGATGGGGAAGCGGAGGCGGAGGCTGAAGCGCGGGCGGGAGAGGCGCGCAAGGAGAAGGAGCGGGAGAAGGGGAGGGAGAAGGGGAAGAAGGAGAAGAGAAAGGAGAGAGACAAGGACAAGGTAAAGGACAAGGAAAGGAAGAAGGATAAGGAGGAGCGGAAGGAGGAGCGGAGGGAGAAGAGGAAGGAGAAGGAGAAGGCGAAGACGAGCAAGAGGGTCGAGTTGGACGCGGGCGGGGTTATTACGGCGGGCAACGCTGGGCGCGGCGGCTTGTCTGCTTTGTCATCCTCGTCGTCGTTCCCTGGCATCAAGGCGCCCCCAGCTAAGCGGCTTCACATGGCGGGATCTGGGACTCGCCCTGTCAAGCCGACCTCCCAGTGCGTGGTTTCCTCTGCTCTAATTCTTCTTGTTTCTTCTTGTTTCACATCGTTTCACATTGTTTCCTTGTTATTGCCCGTGGTTTGTTTCCTGTTGTTTCTTGTTGGCGTGGTTCCTTGGTTTCCTTGCTGCTGCTCTTCTACTCTTTCGTGTCCGTTTCGAGCCTGCCTGCCCAGCCCAGTGGTTCACGGTCCGCTGAAACGACACTGCTCTCTGCAGCTGCTGCTGCGGCGGCGGCGGCTGCTGCCTCTCGCTCCTCCTGCGTCCACCCACAGTCCCATGTCCATCAACGGTCAACCCATGCCGTGCCGTGCCACCTCTCATCTGCACTGCTCTTCTCCTCGCCGTCCTCCGCTCCGCTTGTCTTACTTTAACAGGCTTCTCCGCTTATTACACCCCTCGCTCCTGTGTTCTCCCCCGTCCCGCCAGTTTACCCCCCTTTCTCCCCGCATCACCCCGCCTTTCCCACCTCTCTTCTTCCCCTCTCTTCCCAACCCGTCCCCCTCCCCCGACCGTCCGCTTTCCCGCTGTCGTTCCGCGCAGGCTGGCCGGCGGAGGCCTCGTGATAGTGAGCTTCAACGTGAGCGCGGCGGCGGCGGCGGCGGCGGAGGGCGCGGGGGCGAGGAGGGCGCGCGCGGCGGTGCAGTGGGTGTGCCGCGAGGGCGACCCCTGGCAGTGGGCGGACGCTCAGAGCGCGCTGCAAACCGCCGGCTCCAGCAACACCAGGCACGGCTGTAGCAGCACGGCGTGGCATGGAGGGACGTGGCGTGGCGTGATATGGCGTGGCGTGATGTGGCGTGGCGTGATGTGGCGTGGCGTGATGTGGCGTGGCGTGATGTGGCGTGGCGTGATGTAGCGCGGCTGTAGCAGGGCTGTGGCATGTTTGCGGGGTTGTGGTGATGCGCTGGTGGAGCATGGCATGGCGTGGTGTGGCGTGTAACGTGGCATGGCCCCGACCTGCCGTTTCCTATTCCTGTTCTTCCTCTTTGTCGTCTCCGTCCGTGCCGTCCTGCAATGTGCTCGCTCGCACCCCCACTTACCCCCCAATCCCAATTCCAATCCCCTTTCCCACCCCCTCCCCACTTCTCATCACTTCCATCCGCTCCGCTTCCCTTCTGCTCCGTTCTTTCCTGTTCGTCTCTCTCGCCCACGCACGCCCACCCACTCCCCCCCCTGCCCTCCCCGTCCGTTCCCCTTTCTCTTCTCCTGCTGCTCATACTCACCCGTCTCACTCCTGCCGCACTGCTCCTCCCATCTCCTCCCCTCTCTCCCCCCCCCCCTCTTCTCTCCCCCCTTTGTCCGCTGCTCCGCCCTCCCCCAGGTACCTCCTCCACTGCGCCTCACCTGGCTGCCCAGCCACCAAGTCCTGCGAACGCCTCGCACTGAGCAGCACCGCTCTGCACCACCACCACCACGCGGACTGGCCCCTGCTCGCAGCTGTGGTGTATCACGGGTCGCACAACCACCCCCGCCCTCCCGCGCGCGCTCCTCCTGCCTCTCGCACCCCTCCCGCTTCTCGCACCCCTCCCGCTTCTCGCGCCCCTCCCGCCGCTTGCGCCGCGCCGGCTTCTCGTGGTGCTACCGCTGCTGCTACCGCTACCGCTACCGCTGCCGCTACCGCCTCTTCCACGCGCGCCTCTACTGCTGCTGCCGCCACTGCTGCAACCGCAGCCCGCTCGTCTCCTGCTCCCGCAGCCGTGCCTCCTGCCGTGGGACTTCTTGACCTCAACGCGTCTCCCGGGCCAGAGCAGCCCACAAATGCTGCTGCTGCTGCTGCTGGCATTGCTGCTGCCGGTGCTACTGCCGATGCTGCTGCTGAGATCGCTGGTTCTAAGGGCGAGAAGGTGTGGGTGCAAGGCAGCGGAAGGAACAAGCACGAACCGCAGGAGGAGCAAGGGGAGAAGCAGGCGGAGGCGGCAGAGGCGGAGGAAGAGGCGTGGTGTGTGGCCGAGCGCGAGGAGACGCGAGGGCAGGTGGCGTGGGCAGCGGGGGACGGGCCGGGGTGCAAGCTGCTGCAGCAGGTGTCGCGTCTGCGATTCGAGATGGTGAGCGGAGCGAGCGAGGCGGCGTGGCGGGAGACGCTAGAGGAGGAGGTGGCGGAGGGCGGAGTGCTGGCAGACCTAGCAAACGCCCTCCTTGCTTGCATCTCCAGTGCTGTCTCTGCCTCGGCGTCTGCCTCTGCCTCTGCTGCTGCTGCTGCTGATGGTGGTGGTAATGGTGGTGCCTTGCTGCTGTCACCGCATCAACCTCCCCCAGTGCGCGGAACGGACGCGTTCTGGGCCCTGCTGCACAGCGTGCTGGATGCGCTCTGCAGCATGGCTTCGCGCCTCCCCCGCCCCTCCGCGCCCGGGCGCGCGCGGAACAGCGCGCAGGCGGAGAAGGGCGCGCAGGGGGAGATGGGCGCGCAGGGGGAGAAGGGCGCGCAGGGGGGGAAGAGCGCTCTGGCGGGGGGCGGAGAAGGGGATGCGCTGGGGGGGAAGGAGGTGTTGGGTGGAGAAGGGAAGGGGGGAGTCGAGGGGAAGGCGGGGGAGGAGAAGGAAGCAGGGGGTGTGATTGTGAGAGAGGCGGTGAAAGACCATCTGAGGGGGGATGGCGCTGGGAAGAACTCAATGGATGTGATTGTGATGCAAGGACGCATAGCAGAAGGGAGTGTGGCGGATGGTGGATGTGACGTGGTGGTGGGAAGGCCGCAAGCAGCAGCGCCAGAGGTGCAGCCTCAGCTACAGCCACAGCTACTTTCACAGGTACATGCTGACATGGAACGAGTTGAAGCGAACAGAGGAAGCATGGAGATGCGAGCACGAGCGGATGGAGACGTTGCGACGGCAGAGAGACAGACGGGGGAACGATCAGATGCAGAACGCTCAGAGGCAGAGAAAGCAGAAAAGACAGACAAGACAGGCAATGCGGACAAGACAGGCAATGCGGACAAGACAGGCAATGCGGACAAGACGGAGACGGTTACAACAAAGGGAGAGCGGAAGGCAGAGGACAAGGAAGAGGAGAACGAAGAGAAGAAGGAAGAGAGGGATGAGGAGGGGAAGGGATTCAAAGGAGGGCCAGGACATGTTGACAAGTCGTTGCGGCTCTCTGGGGATTGCCTGTCTACTCCAGCCGTGCAGTCATGCTCCGGTGCTGCTGCTCCTGCTCCTCCTCAGGCTACTGCTCTTGCTCCTGCTGTGGGTGCTGCTGCTGCTGCTGCTGCTGCTGCAGCATCTGCTACTGCCACTGCAGCTAAAGGCACTTGCGATGCAAAGAGCAGCAGTGCTGCTGACACAGCCAGCTCAGGCGTCAAACAGTTTCTGTCTGCCCTGACTCTGCACCTGGATTCATCGCCGCGTGTAATTGGCACTGCCGGTGCAGCGCCAGCACAAGCCGATGCCGCAGCTGCAGGCGCAGGAGCAGAAGGAGGAGAAGTGGGTGGTGTGGTGGTGCATGCAGTGCTTGAGCAGATGGCTGCTTCTGCTTCTGCTTCTGCAGTGACTCGTCCCTCGCCCCTGGTCCTTATGCTGCAACAAGTACTGGCCTCCCAACAACACTCTGCCGCCGTGCACCAGCAGCAGCACAGCCAGCAGCAGCACAAGCAGCGACAGCAGCAGCAAGGGCCTGTCACACAGAAAGTAGGGGGCGTGATGCATTTGCCTTGGCATCATGTGCCACAGCCGCTACTATCGCCGCAGCTACAGCCACCACAATTGCCGCAACTGCCACAGCCGCGAGAAGCATCGCAACAGCTGCCACAGCAGCAGCAACGGCAACAACAGCAGCAACAGCAGGCGAATCGAGATCAACTGCATCTACAGCTGCTGCAGCTGTGGCAGCAGCAGTGGCAGCAACAGCAGCAGCAGCATCAGCAGAATGACAAACCGAGAGCAGCGGGAATGTCAGGGACAGCAGCAGCAGCAGCAGCAGCAGCAGCAATTCCCCATGCCAGTGCCAGTGCAAGCACTTGTGGTGGTGGTGGCCGCGATTGGCTGTGTGAGAGTACCGGACTAGCTGGTGGTGTTGACGGTGGTGCAGGTGGCAGTGGCGACGGTGGTGGCAGTGGTGGTGTCGTCTTTCGGAAACCTCTAGATCAGCCAGTTGCTGCACGCTGCGACAGTGACAGCAGGGGCCTGCTCGTAAGTTCCCTCAAAAGAGGTGGTGGTGATGTGCTTGCAAAGGCTCAAGAGCAGCAGCCGGGCTCTGCAGGGTGTGACAGTGACAGCAAGGGGTTGGGTCAAGTGAAGGTCGAGAGCTGGAGGAGTGCGGAGCTCCAGGGGATTGACTGGAAGCATCGGCTTGCTGTTACAGGCACGGGGCTTGCAGTGGGGGGAGGCGGAGTGGGTGGGGGGTGGAGAGATGGAGGAGGAGGCAGGGAGGAGGTGAGTGGAGAAGAGGACGGAGAAGGGGAGGAGGAAGTCGGGGAGGGGGAAGATGGGGCAGAGGAAGATGCAGATCGCAAAGGGGGGGAGGGCTTGTGTGGTGAGGCCATGCGGTGTGATACAGCTTCTGCAATCGGTGCTTCTGCTGCTGCTGCTGCTGCTGGGTCAGTTCGACTGGGACAGAGCAACAGCATGTTTGGAGGAGTGGTTGATCCTGCCGGAAGCTACATCAACCCAGTGAGCAGTATAGAAGGAGGAAGAGTGCAACGAGACGCTGTGAGCTTCGATGCTGCTGCTGCAGCAACTCCTGCTGTCGCCTTCGACGCTGCTGCGGTCAGCGGCACCACCAGCACCATCAGGGGCATCTCAGCAGCAGGAGCAGTATCAGCAGCAGCATTGCCACCGTCAACAGCAACATCAGCGGCGGCAGCAGTAGCAGCTGCAGAGCTGGCTGCATGCAGCAAGGGGCGGGTACCGCGTCCACGCAAGTACGAGGAGTGTGTGGTGTGTGGCAAGCTGCCCCGAGGGGCTCTAAAGCTTGTGCATGACCATGCTTCCTCCTCTGCTGCTGCTGCCGCTGCTGCTGCTTATGGCGCTGCCGCTGCTGCTGCTTATGGCGCTGCCGCTGCTGCTGCCTCCTCCGCTTCGTTGTCTCGCCGCCGCCTCGTTGGCTTCTGCCGTTGTGCCAAGCGGTGAGTGCTCTGCTGGCTGGCAAACGTTTGGCTGTCTTGTGCTGGTCTGTTTGTGCTTGTGCCTGTGTGTGTACCCATGCGCCTGTGTACCCATGCGCCTGTGTACCCATGCGCCTGTGTACCCATGCGCCTGTGTACCCATGCGCCTGTGTACCCATGCGCCTGTGTACCCATGCGCCTGTGTACCCATGCGTCAGTGCGCCCATGCGTCAGTGTACCCATGCGTCAGTGCGCCCATGCGTCAGTGTACCCATGCGTCAGTGCGCCCATGCGTCAGTGTACCCATGCGTCAGTGCGCCCATGCGCCCGTGAGGGGAGTGCATGCACATGTGCATGGGACGGGGTATGCGCTATCGTTGCGATCGCCCCCTCTTGCTCTTGCTTTGAGACGTCTTGAAACTTATGCTCGTATGCTGCTCACGGCTTCCCCATTCCTGTGGTGCTACTACTGCCCTCCCATCTCCCACCTCCCACCTCTTTACCTGCCACACCAGGCCCGTTCGAGCTGGGCGCAATGTGCTAGGGATCATGCCCTTTGCACTGACACCAATTCACACTCCTATGCCACTGCTTGCTCCTACTGACCTCCCATCCTCCCACCCTCCCACCCTCCCACCCTCCCACCTTCCCACCTCCTACCAGTCCCGTTCGAGCTGGGCGCAACGTGCTTGGGATCATGCCCGTTTGCACCGACACCAACGACGCCGATTCGCACTCCTATGCCGCTCACCAGCAGCAGCAGCAGCAACAGCAGCAGCAGCAGCAGCAGCAGCAGCAGCAGCAGCAGCAGCAGCAGCAGCAGCAGCAGCAGCAGCAGCAGCAGCAGCAGCAGCAGCAGCAGCAGCAGCAGCAGCAGCAGCAGCAGCAGCAGCAGCAGCAGCAGCAGCAGCAGCAGCAGCAGCAGCAGCAGCAGCAGCAGCAGTGCCAGGGCATCAGCAGTCCCACGGGTGCAGATGGCAGTGCGAGCAGCAGCAGTGGATCAGCAGCAGCAGCAGCGGCAACGGCAGCAGCGGCAGCAGCCGCGGCGGTGTCGTCGCGACATCTGCATCCGGACGGGTGGTCGTGGCGCAAGTATGGGGAGAAGGCTATCTGTGGCGTGCAACCGGGCATGCGTGGCAGGTGCGTGGTGGGGTTGTGCGCGTGCGTGTGCGTGTGCGGGTGTGCGTGCGTGTGCGGGTTTGCGGGCATGTAGGTGTGTGTGTGGGTGTGCGTATGTGTGAGTCAGAGTTACTCCAGGCAGGGAGGATCTAAACTGTTGACGGGTGGTTGTGGCGCAAGTACGGGGAGAAAACTATCTGTGGTGTGCAGCCTGGCATGCGCGGCAGGTGTGTGGTGGGCGTGAGCGTGAGAGTGTGCATGTGTGGGGGGGCGCGCGCGTTCACGTGCGTGTGCGTGTGCGCGTGCGTGTTTGCTTCGGAGCCACTCTACCAAAGAGTGTCGTCCTCTAACAATTTCAGAGACAATTTCAGCCATGAGATGGCAGTGCGCGTGCGCACGTGCGTGCGTGTTTGCGTGTTTGCTTCGATTGGAGCCACTCTACCAAAGAGGATTTCAACAATTTCAGCCATGAGACTGGGCTGGGCGAGCTGTAGCTTAGGAAAATTCTTCAGCAGAAGAACGGCAGTAGAGTTAAACTCTTTCTTGCTTTGGATCGGAGCCACTCTACCAAAGGGGATCTCAGAAATTTCTAGAAGCATTGTAGAAACTGACTGACCCTCTCGTCCCTCCTTTACCCTTCTCCCCTTTCCCTTCCTGCTGCCTTGTCCCCAGGGAGTATTTCAAGTGCACAGTGCTCACCTGCACGGCTCGCAAGTTCTCCCACCGCCTCTCTCTCTTCCCGGCCTTTGCTGTCGCTTGGTACGAAGGCCAGCACAACCACCACCACGCCATCGCTGCCCCTGATGCAACCACCAACGCCACCGCCACCGCCACTGCCACTGCCTCTGCCACTGCGCCTGGCTCTGTTGCTGTTACTCCCACCTCTTCTGCTGCTGCTGTTGCAGGGGATTCTGCTTTTGCCGCCGCTTCTTCTCCTTTGGATCCAGGCACCTGGCAGAGTCAGTTGCGTGGGCTAACCTGGCAGGCTGAGGTTTCACCTGACCATTCACCTGACGCCCTTGTTGCCCTGGCAGCAGCGGCACTGGGCAACGCCACAGGCAGACACGTGGCAGCTGCTGATTTGCCGGAGGTTGCAGCGATGGCTGTGCGTGTGGTGCGGGCGAATAAGGCAGCTGTGAGTAAGGTGGGGAAGGTGGACAGTGGGAGAAGGGGTGGGGGAGGAGGGCGGGAAGGAGGAGGAGGAGGATGTGGAGAAGGAGGAAAGGCGGGGGTTAGGGATTTGAGTGCTGGGGGGAGGGGGGAGGAGAAGGCTAAGGCGAAGAGTGTGTGTGTCGTGAAGCAGAGAGACCTGAACTCCGTTGTGAGTGGGCGGTTGAGAGAGGAGCAGGATGGACGCGACTGGAGCAGGTTGGTGAAGGCTGAATCTGCTGATGCTGCTGGAAGGACAGCCTCTGCTCCCTCTTGTGTCACCAACGCCAGTGCTGCCGCTGCCGCCGCCGCCACCGCCGCCGCCGCCGCCGCCGCCGCCGCCGCCGCCGCCTCCGTCGCCGCCGCCGCTGCTGCTGCTGCCGTCTCGACACCCAAGAAAGAGGCTAGTTCTTCAGGAGCAGTCCTGAGAGTTGCACGACCACCTGTCGGTGCTTCAACAGCACCATCTCCATTTCGCCTTCCCGTTTCTGCTCCTACCAACCCCTACGCTCTCTCTGCTACAGCTGCCGCTGCTACAGCTGCTGCGGCTCTGCCTGCTGCCGTTTCAGGCGCTACAGCCTGTGGTGCAAGAGGGGACGCATTTGAGGGCAGAGGAGCAAGCATGGAAGGAGGTCGGAGCACGAGGGCGTTGACAGCAGCAGACAGCCTGGCCGTGTGGCTTGCATCTCTCACCACCACCAACGCCAACGCCAGGAACCCCCCTGGGAACAGCAATGCTGGCAACGCTGGTAGCAACGCCGATAGCCACGCCGTCAGCAACCCCAGCAGCGCCAGCAACGGCAGCAATGTGAGAGTCACTGCGTATGCATCTGCGTCTGCCGCCTCTGCTTCTGCTCCTCCTCCGGCCTCTGCTGTCAAGAGAGCAGCAGGCAGCCCGGCTTGCGAGCCTGCTGTGTCGGGACGTGCTTGCAGCCAGGGAAGCAACGCTTGGAACGGTGGGTGGAGGGGCGGTAGTGTGACTAGGGAAGAGGGCGCACACACTCAGAGGAGCTCGCCTGGTGCAGGCGGGGGAGCGGAAGGGGAGGCATGGCGAGGGGGCTTCAGAGGGGGTGTGCAAGGAGGAGTGATGCAGAGGGGGGTTGAAGGAGTGGCATGGAGTGGAGGGCAAGGAGGGGGGGTGGTGCAGGGGGGCATGAGTGGGGGGGATGCAGCGATGGTGAATGGGGCAAGTATGGCTTGGCTGATCAGCAGGCTTGCAGCGGTAGGTGCAGGCAGGATTGCTGCTCCCTCTGCTGCTCCTGCTGCTGCTGCTGCTGCTGCTGCTGCTGCTGCTGCTGCTGCTGCTGCTGCGTCTGCTGGTGCTGGTGGTGCTGATGCCACTACACCAGCTACCGCTGGCATTGCCACTGCTATTGCCACGAATGCTGCTGTTCCTGCACCTGCTACCGCCCCTGCTGCTGCTGCTCCTGCACGTGTCACTCCCAACCTGTGCAAGAATGCCAGCTCTGCTGCAGCAACAAATCCTCTCATACCGCCGCATCTCCCTCCACCTCCTGCTCCTCCTGCTCCTGCTCCTGCTCCTGTGTCTGCTCCTGTGCCTGCTCCTCCGCCTGCTTCTGCTCCTCTTGCCTTCCGCAGCCCCTCGAGCCTGCCTCCTGCATGTGCTCCTGCTTCTGCTCCTCTCCCTCCTGGTCCTGCCGCTGCTGTGACCTGTGCCGGCACGTACACTGATGCTGTTGCAATGCGGCTGGTAGCAGCAGCAGCTGCAGCAGCAGCAGCGGGAGCAGGATCAGGAGCAGGAGCAGGAACAGCAGGAGCAGCTGGAGCAGGGGCGAGAATGCCACCAGTAACCCCACCAACCGTCGCTCAAACGCCACGAGCCTTAGCAGTCCCTCAATTCCCACCCTCTCATATTGAACGGACAGCACACACAGCACCATCAATCCCTACCGCACAGCTATCCCCTGCAGCAGCTCCAGTTGCTGCCCCTTCCCCTGTCCCTGTCCCTGCTCCTGCTCCTGCTGCTCCTTCCTGCATCCCCACCTCATCCATTCTCTCTGCTGCGTCCCGTGCCCCTCTCCCGCCTCCCCCATCGCCTGCAGCAATCGCTGCACTGGCTGCTGCGTGTGCCCTCAAGCTGCTGCCGTGCCAGCAGCAGTTGCAGCTGGGCCGGCTACCACAGGGCGTGCAGGGGATGCAGCAGGGGATGCAGCAGGGGATGCAGCAGGGGGCACAGGGGGCACAGGGGGAAGAGATTCAGAAGGTACCGGTACAGGGGTTACAGGGGGCACAGGGAGGGGTTAAGGCGGCACAGCAGGATCCGGTACAGCAGCAATACAGCCTGTTACGACAGCACGGGCTCTTGCCACCGCTGCCGCTGCCACCACAACAGCAGCAGCAGCAGCAGCAGCAGCAGCAGCAGCAGCAGCAGCAGCAAGAGCAAGAGCAAGAGCAAGAGCAGGGAGGCGATGGCTGGCAAGGGCGGGGCCAGGCAGGGGAGCAAAGGCAGGTGCGAGGGGCAGGGCATCGGCTGTCCTTTCTCACTGCACCTGTGGTAGAGAGGCGCACAGAGGAACAGTGGCTTTCACTGAAGATGGGGAAGGGTACTGTAGAGGAGGCAGGAGTGGGGGTGAAGGGAGAGAGGGAGAGGGGCGGACGAGAGGGGAGTGGGGGTGGGGGTGGGTCAGCAAGACAGGGAATGGTAGATCTGTCGCTTGAACTGGGTGTCTGTAGAGGAGGTGCGGTAAGTTGACCTCTGAGTTGAGGTGGCCTTTGAGTCGACTCGAGGGGAGGGCGGGCGCGGCGCCGGGGAGGTGTTTGCAGCCTCTCCTAGTGGGCTGGTATGGTATTGTTGTGATACGTAGCAGCAGTGTCAGGGTTGGCGGCAAGCAACGGAATAAGGGTGTATGTTCACAAGTTTAATAAATTCGGCTGCTATTATTGTAGCCTCTAACTGTTGAGCTATTGTATAATGTAATTATGTAAGTACTGTACCTCTTATAACGAGAGTGAATATGCAGCTAATTAATTGACTCCTGATCAGAGTAAAGTGAACTCCTAAAACAAAAGCTATCCATGGGTTAATTTATTAAATACACGGACATACAGTTACGATATGTGATAAGCTGAATCACATCTCTGTTCTACCGTCAAACCTGGCTTTCCTCCTTCCCATCCGGAAAAGCGTCTGTTGTTAGATCGTGATTTTTCAACAGGCTGGCTACCACCAATATGTTACAGGTTGAAACAATTACCATTGCCATGGTGGTATCAGAGCTTCGGTTGATATGGTGTATGGAGGATGGCTGTGTGGTATGTTGTTGCACAGATTAGCCAACGAGATGGCACTGGTAGTACGGTACTGGCGCAAGAAACCTATGACAACAAGGCAAACGTTCCTGTGCTCTCAACCTCTCAATATCATTGCAAAGCAACCACCAAGAAGCTCCTATGCTCCCATCTTACTTCCATTCCGTCCCTCCCTTTCCTGAAAAGCATCTGCCACAGCTCTTTTCCTGGAACAGGTCACACTGGATTTTTTTTCCCTATCACAGGGAGATGATTCAACCCCAAACATGCATTCCGTCCCCCCCCTGCCTGTTCCTCTGTGTGCTGGAGGGGCACAAACATAGTCACTCCACTTACCCTATGCTCCCCTCTCCCCTAACCACCGTCGGCTGTTGAAACGTCTCAACAGGGGGCACAGAGACCAGACACTCGTGCTATTCCGTGCTCCCACCTACCCCCGTCACCTCCTTGGCCTCCTCGTCCCACTCGCGAATGCGGCACAGCAGGTGCGTGAGGATGCAGGCGAAGACCACCATCGCCACACTCGCAGCCGCCACCAGCGCCAGCGACAGCACCAGCTTTGGGGAGGACAGGGAGGAGGAAGAGGAAGAAGAGGTGGTGGTGGTGGTGGTGGTGGTGGGAGGTGGAGCAGAGCTGTCAGGAGGGGGAGTAGGGACGGGAGTGGGGGAAGGGGACGGTGAAGGGGAAGGGGCGGGGGACGGTGAGGGGGAAGGGGAGGGAGAAGGTGAGGGGGGAGGGGAGGGAGAAGGTGTGGGGGGAGGAGAAGGAGCAGGAGAGGGGGAAGGCGAGGGGGAAGGAGTAGGTCCATCGGGTGACTGCAGGTATTGAACGAGTGTGTAGGTACCCAGCCGTGGGGATGTGCACACATAGCTAGAGCCTGATGAGCTGCTGCTGCTGCTGCTGCTGCTGCTGATGCTGCGCTTCTCTGCACGTGTCAAGACCGGCGACGTGTCCCAGGCCACGCCCCCATCACCACCACCACCGCTGCCGCTGCCGCCACCGCTGGTGCCTCCACCTATCACAGCGCAGTAGGTCTCACCACTATCACCACCAGCTCCTGTGCGCCGTGCTTGCCCCGCTGCCTGTCCGCCTGGCCGTTGCTCCCCTCCCTTCCCCCCTTCCACCGCCAGCCTCACCTCAATCCGCGCAGGCCCTGGCGCAACCACCTCCCACGCCTCCTCCTCCGCCCCCATCACCTCCCCCGTCCCGTCCCCCTCCGCCTGCGCACTAGCTTCCCCCGCGCGTGGACCTTTGGCGAGGAGCAGGGGGGAGAGGTCGAACACGCGGAGAGCCACGAGGGGGCTCACGAGGGCGAGCGGGGCGGAATTTGCGCTCAACTGCGGGGCATCTGACGGTGGGAACCGGTAGTAGAGGAGGAGGAGGGGGGACATCAAGCGGGGAATGGAGGAGGAGGAACGGGAGGAGGGTGAGGAGGAGGGAGAGGCGGAGGAAGGAACGGAGGAAGTGGAGAAACCGGGAGAGGAGGGGGAAGGAGAGCGGTGGAGTGAGGCTGTGGCGAAAGCGAGTATGGGGCCGAGAAATTCGGCACGAGTGGCAGTGATGCGCTCGCTGCTACTGCCCTTCCTTGGTTTTCTGGCCATAACATCACTGCTGCTGTTGTTGCTGTTGCTGCTGTTGCTGCTCCTGCTCCTGCTCCTGCTCCTGCTCCTGCTCCTGCTCCTGCTCCTGCTCCTGCTCCTCCTTTCGCCGCCGCCTCGGGTGGTGCTTGCATAGCGCTTCTTGCTGCGCCTCCGCGTGCTGGCGGGTAGGAAGGAGCACCCGGGAGGAACGGTGAGCTCGTACCACCGGAATCCGGCCTTCTGCACCGCTTCTCGCTCCACCACTGCTGCTTCCACTACCCTACTACCACCACTGCTGCCTTTCTCGTCGCTGCCACTGCCGCTGCCACTGTTGATACCACCGGGGCTGCTGCTTTCCCCCACGCTCCCACCCCCACCAGCCCCAGTCCCAACACCCGACGACTGCCCCGGAGGAGGAGCGCCATACGGCACGCGAACCACGATAGACCCTTTCGGGAGAGTGTGGTTACCATCTCCCGTCGCAACGCCGCCGGCCGTCGCATTGCCGCTGCGAATGGCGTCTAGAAGGGTCCACTTGGCTTGCTCCCACAGCATCTGCTGCAGCATCGCGAACCGATACGCGTCGATCTCCGCCTGTGAGTCGGAGCCGGAACCAGAGCCAAAGCCGGAGCCGGAGCCGGAGCCTGAGCCGGAGCCAGAGCCGGAGCCTGAGCCTGAGCCTGAGCCGGAGCCTGAGCCTGAGCCCGAGCCTGAGCCTGAGCCTGAGTCCCCCGCGACAGCCGGCGGGCCTGTTGAGCCGTCGCCTGGCGCTCCCGGGTGCAGTTCCGGCACCACCTGGATTGTAGACCGGCGCAACGAGCTTCTGGCACCTCTGAAAGTCTCAAGGGTGACACCGCCGCCGCTGCCGCCGCTGCCACCACCGCCGCTGCCGCCACCGTCAGCAGCAGCGGCAGCGGCAGCTTCAAGAGCCAAGGATGCACGTGTGTTATCTGCAAACTCAGCGACAGAAGTGGTACTGCTACTTGTATTACTGGTAGTTCTGGTAGTGCTGGTAGCTCTGCTGGTAGTAGCAGCGTCTAGCGGTAAGACGGTAGCACTAGCATTACGAAGACAACGACCGTGATCAACAAACGCACTTGTAGTAATGGCGAATGAGGGCGCACGATTGGAGAGAGCCAACCGAGTCACGCCCGAACGACGACTAGTCTCCCTGTGCCTCGCGGCACCGCCCCGCAACCCGCTCGCCGCCACAGTGTGCGGAATGTGCGCGGAGAATAGCACCAATGCGGCTAGTAGAAGCTGGAGCAGACGCACAGCATGACTGCGAGTGAGAGCACGAGTGCGAATGCGAGTGCCAAAGGAGTGGTGCTGAGAACGGATTCCGTGCATGATCGCGCTGGACTTGTTGCGGAAACGCGACGGATGCGACGGATGCGACGGACAGACGAGTGGAGTCCCAGCCGTTGCGCGCGGTTCTTGCAGAAAAACAGCCGTGGCGTCGCAGTGCCGGCTTGTCAGCGAGTGCGGGTCCGGCTGTAGCTCCAGCGTTGTTGGTGATAATTGCCGCTTTCCTGGTGTCGCAACATGCAGCTTCCGAGCTTTCCGCGCCGCTGTGACTCCAGCCATGGCTGCAGCTTCTGAAACTTCAGAGCTCCTTCCGCCGTTGGCGTCTTCTCCCTCAATTCTCCGGGGAAGCCTCCTTTTATTAGTATAATGTCGAGCGTCGCAGATTCGGCGCACTTGACATAACGTCAGCTTCGAGTCGAGTCAGCTGGGCGTTTAGAGTCGATTCAGCTCTGTCTCTTGGTTTCAGGATGTGCTGTTCAGGCCAGGAAATTATTACTGGCCTTTGAAATTCAATGGTCGTGCCGGAATGCTGGGAATTCACTCGGAAGTGGAAGAAACGAGTCCTCGTCGCACGCACGTCACGTGTGTAGCACTCGAAGAAAAAACACCCACGGTCGAGCGCGTGGCGTACAATCCAGTGAAAATAAGGAGCAGAGTCTGCTATAGCACATACGCGACGCGAGGGGTGCAAGTTGGGGTGCAAGTGAGTGGAGGAAGAGCAAGTAAGCAGGCGGAGTCCTGTGTAGGGAATTTGAGCAGTGCGGAGAAGAGACGAGCAGACACAGGTAAGGAGCACAAGCACTTAACGATCACAGGCAGAATCACCTGAAAACAGATGGGAATCGGGAGGATGTGTTGAAAGTGTGCCTTGTTGATCACGAGTTGGTCCGACAAACTACTATCCCCCAGTTCGATGCGATTGCAATGCGATGCGCGCCACACACAACTCGCGAGTCGCTCGCGACTCACCTAGGAAGATTGTCCAATTCCGTATTCCACAATTATTGGTGTTCGCATTTCCTCGACAGTGTTAGCCACCTTCAGGTAATTGGAAGGACTACCCTATGTCGGACTCAGAACAGAAATTATAGACTAGACCTATCTTCTAAAAGAGCTTAGAGAGATATGCCACCTACTCATTTATTAGTCACGGATTCAGAAGAATGCACACGATATGGTACTCCTCTTGTTTGCAACCCTACAATTCCAACATTAAACATAATTCACGTAGCTAAAGTTATGCTCGCTACATGTTAATCCCATGCTAATTGCCTTCAACAGTGACAACCAAAGAAACAAATCATATTGCTCCATTGCCATGTGCCTGAACTGCCATCGTCTCGCGTCATCCACATGCCACCAACCCCCTTCAGTACTTATCATCCGTCTCATCCTGCGTGAACCGGGTCCTCTCATTCCCTGCCATTTCCACCTCCTGCAACTCCGCCCCGCCGCCAGGCCCCTCCCCTTCCCCATCCCCCCCACCATGCTCCTGCTCCTCCACCAGCTTCGAATACGCACTGTATAGCCTGCGCGACTTGATATAAGTCACCACCCACACCACGAGCAGCACAAGCGCCAGCACGCCGCCCAGCGCACCCAGCAGCACATACTTCCCGTTAAGCAGCTCCGCGGACTCGATGTAAAGCGTCTGGACGCACGGCCCGACGATGACAGGAGCAGGGAGCTTGACGGAGCCGTTGAGATAGGGGTTGCAGGAGCCCTCTTCCTCGTACGTGTAGGTGATGTTGTGGCGCCCGTGCACGTCGGCACATGTGCTGTTGCTCGTCAGGAATCCCGCGCAGGGCTGGCAGGGAATGTCGTCTGGGAGTGGTGCCTGCGGGTTGGGCTGGCACAGCTGCATAAGGGAGAGGAAGCGGGGAGAGAAAGTGGGGAGGGGAAGTGGGGAGGGGAAATGGGGAGGGATGGATGAGCGGAGGGTTGATGGCGTGGAGCAGTAAACTGGGTGGGTGTAACTGGATTCGAATCCGAGAAGCAAAGCTATGCACCAGTAGCTCATACTTGAGCACAACAAACTTGTTGTCCTTGCAATAACCCCTCCCACCTTCCCCATCATTCGACTCCCCTCCACCCCTCCACCCCACACTGACCTTGGGCTTCAAGTACAAGGAGCCCAAGGTACTTGAACACAACAAACTTGTTGTCCTTGCAATTGGGCCACCATGACCTTCCACCCCTTCCCCCTCGCCCCCTCCTCGCACTCGCCCCCTCCCTCCTCTCGCCACCCGTCCCCCCACCCCACACGTCACGCGCATTGAGCTCCTTGTACTTGAAGACAACAAACTTGTTGTTCTTGCAGTTGGGCAACGTGACGCAAAACTCCCTCACTAGTGAGTTCCTCCCTCTCCACCCACTCCCTCCCCACCACCCACCTTGGGCTCCTTGTACTTGAAGACAACAAACTTGTTGTTCTTGCAGTTGGGCACCGTGACGCAAAACTCCCTCACTAGTGAGTTCCTCCCTCCCCCATCCACCCACTCCCTCTCCACCACGCACCTTGGGCTCCTTGTACTTGAAGACGACGAACTTGTTGTTCTTGCAGTTGGGCACCGTGACCATCTCGTAGTCGTCGTACGTGCACATGGGGCACGCAAACGCCGAGTACCACACCACCCGACACCTGAGCCGAATCAAAACCCACACACCTTCAACTCCTTATACCCGACAACGATATCTCCATCCCCTTGTTTCTTTTGCACGAGGGCGCCGCCACCTTGACACCTTTCAACCGAGCATGCACTTCCTCAGAACTCCAACCCACACTCCTTCCGCGCCCAAATTCCAGCCCCCTCCCTCCCCTCCCCGCCACCCACCTTGGGCTCCTTGTACTTGAAGACAACGAACTTGTTGTTCTTGCAGTTGGGCACCGTGACCATCTCGTAGTCGTCGTACGTGCACATGGGGCACGCAAACGCCGAGTACCACACCATGTCGTACGTGCACGACGTCTCGTTGCCTATGGGGATGATGGCGCCCGTGCGATCCACCCATGACGGGAAGGTCAGGGCTGGGTCCAGGGCTGCCTGTTGGCCCTTCTCTGTCCATGCCTCTGGCGCCCCGTAGCCTGATGGGTGGAGGAAAGTTAAAAAGAAAATGAAATAAAGAGGCATGTATTCTGAAGGTGCTTCGAAAACAGGCCACCCATGACAGGAAGGTCAGGGCTGGGTCCAGGGCTGCCTGCTGGCCCTTCTCTGTCCACTCCTCTGGCGCCCCGTAGCCTGACGGGTGGAGAAAGATGAAGGAGAAGAGGGGTGTATTTTTTAAGGTCCCTCAAAAGCCGGTCCACCCATGAGGGGAAGGAAAGGGATGGGTTCAGATCTGCCTTCCTGAAGACTTTTGGTGCCCCGTAGCCTGGCAGGTGGAGGAAGAGAAGGACAGGAGACCCTCTTAGGTGCCTCAAAAGCGGTCCACCCATGAGGGGAAGGTCAGGGCTAGGTCCATCCAGAGCTGCCTTCTTGCCCATGGTGTCCCGTAGCCTGGCGGGCCGAGGAAGAGGAAGAGGAAGAGGGGTAAGCATAAAACACAAGAGTCGGCATTTTGGTCACAGAAGAATGTGATCTTGAGCTTGCGAGATCCTTATCCTCCGCCACACACATATCGCCTGTCAATTCTCGAATCAGCTCAGCTCAACAAGCAGCAAGTGGCTGTCAGTGAGGTGAGGTGAGGAAGCAGCCGTGTGGGGTGGGTGGGGAAGCACAGGAACGCACCAGCATTGGGGTCACAGATGAAAGTGATCTTGAGCTCGCGGTCCTTGTCCTCTGCCACGCACGTGTCCCCCGTCATCGTCATCACAAACCCCCTGCGGAACAGCGCTGCGCCCTGCCCCAGCGGCGACAGATCAATCTTCTTTCCTAGGTTATGCGCCAACCGGTGCCCCTGTCGGTTATCCAGCTTCGTCGCAGGATTAATCTTACACGCGTAGGTATTCATCGGAACCCCACGCACGCTCGCGCACGTGCGGTTGGTCTTATCCCGGTCGCACACGTTCACGTAGTACAGAGACCCCTCAGAACGTTTCTTAGCCTTGGGGTTGTCGAAAATCGGGCCGAACATACGGCCGGGGTGGCGGCGGGAGAGCGGGGAGAGGTCGAAGATGGTGAGGGGGAGCTTGGCGTCTTCCTCGGAAGCAGGCGGGACGTAGGAGCAGTAGGAGGAGGGGACCGCCACGTCTCCGATGGTGCACTCGCTGCTGCCGGCTAGAGAGGTGGTGCCGGGGCTGCAGGGCTGGCAGGACGCCTTGCTTCCCTGGAGAGATGCAGGTAGAGGGGTGATCCAAGAGAGGGAGATGGGAGAGGGGATGGGAGAGGGGGGGGGGGGGGGGGGGGGGGGGGGCGGCAGAGGGTGGGAAGGAGAGGGAAACGACAGGGTGAGGGAGGAGTGATGAGGGAAACGCAGTATGGATGAATGAAATTTGTCGGTTTGTCAGGGTGGATTGGGGTAGATAGGGTGAGTGAGTGGAGGAGTAGTAATGCGGGTGTGCGAGTGGTTGAGAGAGAGGGTGGACTGGGTGGGAAAGAGTAGCCAGACACAGCACGCACCACAAACCACACCCCACACCGCGCAGCACCGCACAGCACCACACAGCACCAAACAGCCACCACACAGCACCGCGTACGAAGGGCATGTCGTTGAATGTGTTGGGAGGGCAGGCAGTGCAGTTAGCAGCGAGCCCCTCGCTGTAGAACCCAGCAGGGCACTCTGTCCAGAACGAGCCCTGCCCCGCCAGCTCAGCTCCCTCCGGCACCGGCTCACAGTAGCTCGCTCCTCCCCTTGTTGCTGCGTCAATCTGGAGATGTGTGTGCATGTGTGGGATAAGAAGAGGCACCAGGGAAAAGAGGAAGGGGTTTTCGAGTTGAGATGTTTCAAGAACCACCCACGGCGCTGGCTCACAGCAGCTTGCGCCTTCCCTTGATGAGGTGCTGGTGTCGACACAGAGGTGCATGCACATGTTATGACACAAGGCACTGGAGGAGATTCTTCACCCAGCAAAAAAGGGAGATACCTCACCCAGCAGTGCAGGCACGAGAGGCGCCTCTGCAACGACGAGAGGCAAATTGGCACGACGAGACAAGTCAAGACAAGGCAAGACGAGACAAAAGTCTGTGTCTGCCCTTGCAAGGACTGTGAGGCAGGGAGAGGAGGCGAGGCGCGGGGAATGGAGATGACTGGAGGGGAATGGAAGGGAGCGGAGACGAGTGGAGTGGAGTGGAGGCAAGTGGAGACGAGTGGAGGGGAGCGAGGACAAGGGGAGCGGCTGACCAGAATGTCATAAATAATGGCGCCGTCCGTGGTGTCCTTCTGCTGGTCCTGCAGCTTGATCCACACCCACATGAGCGTGTGCTTGCCCTTCCTCAGCTCCCACGGGTCTGTGGTCACCACTGTGTCCGGCTCGCCCTCCTCGTACCCCTCCTGCCGTGTGCGTGCAGTGTGTGTGGGCATACACGACAGTGCAGTGTGTGTGGGCATACACGACAGTGCAGTGTGTACAGGGGGAGGGTGGAAAGGGGGGATGGGGATGCAGTGTGCCAGGCAAAGGGCGTGGGGTGAATACGGAGGGAGGAAAGGGGGGTGGGACGGAGGGAAAATACCTGTACAACATGCAAGGAAGGGGAGGGGCGCAGTGGGGGGAGGGGGGCAACGGGGAAAAGCAGAACATAGTAGCAAGGATCTCAGGGCAGGCCAGCACGAGGTGGTTTCCTAGGTGCCTCATGTTGCATGCATGGCAATGCGATGCGACACGCACTTGTGCGCAACATCCCTGTGCTGCACTGCACTGCACCACACTGCACCACACCACACTGCACTGCACGGCACTACTAACCTCGCTGGCGACGACGAGGTCCTCATCGACGTAGAAGAAGAGCCCTCGCTGCGTGTCCCCTTCTGGCAGGTGTGCCGAGTAGTTGAACGTCACCTGTCCGTCCATCTCCATGTCCACCTCGTACTTGAGCCACACCTGCCATGTGTAGATGCATACATGGGTCATGTGTGGGAGTGAAAGAAGTTGATTATTGAAACGTATTAAAGGCTGAGTAGTTGAATGTCACCTGGCCGTCCATTTCCAAGTCCACTTCGTACTTGAGCCACACCTGCCATGTGTACATGTGCCGTGATATGTACCATGTCATGTCATGTCATGTTATGTCATGTCATGTTATGTCATGCCATGTGCATGTGTCACGTGTGTGTGCACATGGATGGATGCAGACACACATGCCTTCATGCACACAGATGGATGGTTGCACCACATGCGTCATGCAATCATGCACCCACAACACAAGGACATCACCCCATTGCAGCAACCCCACATGGCCCCAGACAAACCCCCACATAAAACCAAATCAAACAGCCACAAACCCCAACAAACCACAGAGCCCACACCAAACCGCACCAAACCACCCTCTCCATCAAGCTTACCGAGACGGACTGGCCATGGCCCACGCCCGACTCGAGGCGCTCATTCACCACGTGCCACCCAGGGGACCCGCACTGCCCCCGGCACCCGGTGGTGAAGCCCTCCGGCAGCCCTCCGTGCTGGCGTGCAAAGTGCTCGAGCTTGAACGACTTGATGGCCACGTTGCCCGGCTCACACCGCTCGCACGTGTTCCCCATCGTCTCGTTGCTTGCGTCGCGCGCCGAGCCCTGTGGAGGGGAAGGGAGGGGGGGTGGGGTGGGGTGGGGAGAGGGGGGGGAGGAGGGAGGAGGGGGAGAAAAAGAGAGTGGGGAGGTCTGGTTGAGTGTTGATGATCCCCACAGTGTGTGCGTGGGTGAGCCTGGGGAGAGAGGAGATCAGCTGTGGGGTGGGGTGGTGAAGCCCTCCGGCAGGCCCCCGTGCTGGCGTGCAAAGTGCTCGAGCTTGAACGACTTGATGGCCACGTTGCCTGGCGCACACCGCTCGCACGCGTTCCCCATCGTCTCGTTGCTCGCATCCCGCGCCGTGCCCTATGGGACAGGGCGGGGAGGGTAAGGGGTTGTGCGGGGGCGCGGGGGTATGGGAGTCAGGTTGGTGGGAATGAGGCGTGGGGAGAATGGGGAGTGGGGAGGTTAGAGAGCTTGCCTAGGAGCATAGAGAGCATGGGGGGGTTTCAAAGCAGGGGAAGCACACTGCGGAAGAGCTTTGAGTTGACACAGAAGGGGATGGGGGGATGGGGGGATGGGGGGGTATGGAGCAAATGAGGGGAAGCACGCAAGGGGAAAGCGGAGTAGCGGGAGGGACCGGGGACGGAGGGCGGCGGAGGAGGGGAAAGGAGCGTAGGAAAGACGTACAGGAGGGCAGAAGACACAGGCCTTGGTGCCGTTTTCAGGAGAGTCCTCGTAGTACTGGCCCGAGGGACAGGGCGCTGATGAGGGAGACAGAGAGAGAGGGGAGGAGATGGTGTGCAGAGGAGCGGGGAAGTGGGTTGCGGGGAGACTTGATGCAGAGGGAACGCGGCAATAGAAGGTGCAGGCTGGTTGGTGGCGGGGGAGATGTTCGGTTTAGAAGAGCTATGAGAAAAGCAAGGGGAGGTAGGGGACATAGGGTCTTATCAAGGGGAGGTAGGTTAGGGTGAAGGGAAGGACAAGAGGGTATGGGGAGGGAAGAAAGGAAAGGCAAGGAAACAACAGGAAGGAAACTAGATTAGGAAAGGGGAGAAAAGGGGAAAAGGGAAGCAAAGCGAAGGAAGGGCAAGTGAGCGGCAGAGAGAGAGAGTGCATGGGAGGGCAGGGCAGGCTTACGGCAGGTCTGGGAGTCCTCTGGTGGGAGCACATCACCCCCCGTGCACACCTTCGGCTCCACCCACTCGTACTTCTGCTCGCACCACGTGCACACAAGGGCAGGAACAGGGGGAAGGGGGACTGTGCTTGACAGGGCTTTTGAGACGTCTCAAGAGTCCTCTGGTGGGAGCAACTGGCCTCCTGTGCACACCTTGGGAAGGAGAGGGAGGGACATGGGGTCGAGGAGAATGGGGAGGAACAGGGAGAAGACTTTTGAAATGTCTCGAAAGTCGCCCCCCGTGCACACCTTGGGCTCCACCCACTCGTCGTACTTCTGCTCGCATGGTGTGCACGGGAGAGGGGGGAATAAGAGGGCGCAGGAAGAGGGGACAGGAGGAGAGGGTTGAAAGGGAGGGAGAGACGGAGGGTGTGGGGTGACAGGGAGACGGAGGGTGAGGCTCTGCATGCATGTGAGATGGACGGCTAGCAGCAAAGGGTGGTATATCATAGCCCAACCTCCAAAGAGTACAGAAATCGTTTCACCGTAGGCAAGCACTGGAAGACACACCAAGAATCACGAACGATAGTGAAGACTCATACAATGCAATCAAGATAGGGCGGGCGAGTGGGGTGGGAGGGAGGAAGGGATGGAAGGGAGGGACGGCGGGCGCGGGGGAGGTAGGGAGGAAGGGAAGGGAGGGGGGCCGGAGGAGGAGCAGTGCGTGCCTTGGTGCGAGTGTTGGTGGCAGACATGCAGGGCGTGTAGGTGTAGCGCGCATGCTTCTCCAGACTGCATGCTGTGGGACGGGGCGGATGGGATGAGATGAGATGAGATGACGAGGGGATGAAAAGAGGCGAGGATGAGAGGGGGAATGAGAGAATCAGAGATGCAGCGACAGGTGTGACGGTCGAGGGGAGGAGAAGTGACGGAAGAGAGGGAGAAGAGAGAGAATGGAGAAAGATTAGAGTGGGGGAGATAAGGTTGGGAGTGCGAGGGAAAGGAAACGATTGACAGACAGGGCGAACACATGACTTGGAAGGCAGCTCAACACTATGCGTAACTGTGAGGAGGTGGTAATAAGAGGAGAGGAGAGAAGACGGGAGGAGAGGCGAGGAGATGGGGTGGGAGGAGAGGAGAGGAGCGGAGAGGAGATGAGAGAAGGGGGAGGCGATGATGAGAGCTGAGCAGGAGGAGAGGCGACAAGACAGCGCACACAAGCAGGAAAGCAGGAGACTCACTGGGTTTGGGTAAGCACTTGATGCGTGGAACGTGTAGCGCGTAGCTGTTCTCTGGACAGGCTTCGCACTGCGCTGCCCCTCCCCTGGTAGCATGGCATGGCGTGGCATGGCATTGTATGGTATGGTGTGGCATGGCAAGGTATTATGTGGCATGGGGTGGCATGGTGTGGACAAGGGGGTGGGGATGCAGCAACAGAGGAGGGAGGAGTGGGAAGCGACAGGGGGTTAGGGTGCAATTAGGGACTAATCCGCCCGCCCAGCCTGCAGCAGCACAGTTGCTGAGACAGATGATTGTAGAAGAAGCCACTGGGGTGAAGTGAAGGTAATTTGACAGGGAAAGGTGCGTCGATTGGGGTGTGACGAAAGGTGATGGCAGGGAACTGAAGTGAAGTGCTAAAGACGCCCCTCGAAGATGTCTTGGAACAAGGGTTGGTGAAAATAGAGAGGAGAGGAGAGGAGAGGCGAGAATGGGAGACGAGAGGAGAGGAGAGGCGAGGAGAGGCGAGGAGAGGCGAGGAGAGGAGAGGAGAGGAGAGGAGAGGAGAGGAGAGGAGAGGAGAAAGGGAGCAGGAGGGACGCACTTGGAGATGTGGTCGAGTGGGCATGGGATGCACTCTGTTGCACCCTCGGCACTGCCATGGGGAAAGAAAAAAGCACGCACACATTGAGGAGCAGCACACAGGGGCGCGCACACTCCAGCACACAGCCGCACACGCCCACACGAGCCAAAGGAGAGGAGAGCGAGCGAGCGAGTAGCACAGAAAGATAGGCACCTTCTGCGTGGGCTAAAAAAGGTCTGGCTGTAGAGGCGCGAGCAGGAGCAGCACAGAGTCAGTGAGCAAAGAGATGAGCATGAGAGAACCAGAGGGCAACAAGGCAGCAGATTTGTAGAGAGCAGCAGCCTGAGCCATGAGCGCTGCATGCAGGCAGGAAGGTGGCGGGCAGGCAGGGAAGCGGAGGGCAGGAAACGAATCAACCCACCTGTAGAAGCCGGGCTCGCAGGGCCTGCAGCGGTGGTCGTTGTAGTCTGTACCGTCCACCTCAATCATCTGTGTGGGTGGGGATGCGGGGGTGACAAGAGGACACGGGAGTGGAGGGTAGGGAATGGGAAGAGGGAGGCAATGCAAAGAGAGAAAGCGATGATGGAGGAAAGGAAAATAGCAACAGCTGAGGGAAAAAACTGAAACAGCAGCAGCAGCAGCAGCAGCAGCAGCAGCAGAAGCATGAGCATACAAAACCTGTCTCTCCAGGCACGTACGGTGATGGCAGCGGTGTCCTGGCCGCGTGTGAACTCATGGTCCTTGGAGTAGAGCCACGTGAGGTGGTGGTAGCCCTCCGTCAGGTTGAACATCACCTGCTTCGGATGGAACTGGTGCCGCCACAACCGGGGGGGTGGGAGCGGGACGAGTGAAAAGAGGGGGTTTTGGTGATGTATGGAGACTAAGATGCACGAAGGAGCAAAAAGGAGCGTGAGGGAAGCAAGGGAAGGGCAATGCAAGAGCGTCGGTTACAGCTGAAGACCGCGTAGCTTGACCTTGTTCAGCGCAAGAGCGCCGGACAAAGTCAGTTGTAGTAGTCGATGGGTGTGCGTACCTGGTAGGAGTCGAGGGGCATGACGGGTTGCTCTGAGACGTCAATGAAGAAGGAGAGCCCGTCCAGACCCTTCTCTGCGTTCACCGTGTAGTTGAACTTCACGTACCTGCCATGCCACACGCCATGCCACGTTCAATGCCATGCCATGTTGCATGTCATGCCATGCCAGAGCATACCATGCCATGCCAGAGCATACCATGCCATGCCAGAGCATACCATGCCATGCCGTGCCAAGCGATTCCGTCGCATAACAGCTTGGTTGAACAGATTGCTTGAACACGGCAAGTCCAGACACCACGGGAAGCGGCCACTACAAACGGCAAGCTTGACTTGCTGTTCAAGCAATGGCCCTGGTGGTTTCTTAAGGCGCCTGTAAAAATCATTTTTTGATTAAATTGGACCCAAGCGCGTTAATCAATGAGGGGGCAACTTACCCTGGGCGGACGAGGCGAACAGTCATCTGCAGCACGGACCGCAGGTTGTTGTGACACTCGTAGTCCTCATCCGTGTCACACTCGTCCTGATAGCACGAGGCAGGGGAGGAGAAGGAGGGGAAGGGGGAAGGAGGGGGAAGGGAGGTGGTGTAATAGTGTATATAGGCTGTTATGCACTCTTAGACCTCATCTGCATCACACTTGTCTTGACGAGAGGAGGGAAGAGAGAAGGGGGAGGAGAGAAAAGGGGGGGGGGAGGTGGGAAGGGGTTGGAGGAGGGTAGTAAGAGAAGGAAGAAGTGTTGTATATAGACATAGAGGGAGAATGCAGGAGGGTGGGAGAGAGTGAGTTGTTAAAGAGAAAGACTTACTTGCAACCACTCGTTCGGGCTGTCATACGCCCCCACTTTAACCGCTCCATCTTCAACGTACCACCTGTTATGCCCAGTCATGCCATTCCATGGAAAGACACGCCGAGATTAACACTTGGTACCTTTCAAACGATGCTTCAATTCCCAATGCGTCCTTTCTTCCGAATGTGGAAATTCCATGTTTTTGTAATATAAATAAACTGTGGCATGCGTGGTTGCATGGATACATGGGTGCATGGGTGAGTAGACTTACGGTTCACATGTATGCTTGCCCGTGGAATTGAAGAACTCGCATGTGGTCTGCATAGATACACACATATCCACACACATGCACAAACATGCATGCCCGTGCACATACATCACA